CGTGCACAGATTTGTTTCGTCCTTCATCAGGAACACATCTACTTACTTGGTAGAACCGAAGACTTATAAATTAACCTAAGCTACAAGCCTTCTTACATATAAGAGTTCAGGTTTAACTGAGTAGATATTGTCCACTTTCAGTTTACTCCACACAGATTTGATTTTGTTTTTCAAATAATCGTCCTTGGAAAGTAAGAATAAATTGAATTAAATAACTCGACGCAAGCTTAGATCTCAAGACATACAAAATCTGATTTGTATAGATTAATTTTATCATAATTTAATGATATGTGTGACTTCAGAATTCATTTTTCTCCTGTTTCATCGAAATTTAAGAATGAGCTGTAAGGTTAGAGATTTAGGATTTGACTTGCAGAGAAGGGTCTATTTCTTGAGCGAGGATTTGGACAAACTCTAGTTTAACTCTACAGAAGCTGAATTCTGAACAAATTAAGAATTGAATTGAATTTATTTCTTAAATCAAGATTATGTCATTTCCCATAAATTCTTCATATGAATGAGATTGAATCTTAGATGTGGACCATACTCAATCAAAGACAAGCAGTGGTCCCACTTACTGGATTTATCAACTGAATGTGGACCTATCATTGATACTCATCAATCTATAACACATTGACAAGAGGCAATCAGATAGCCACCTTCATTATTTCCTTTTAATCATATCAGGAAAATTAAATATGAAAATATTTATATTGGAAGATTTCATATATTGCATATAAATATGATGCACAAATACTATCAAAACATTCATAGAGTTTTCTGAAACCTTTGAGTCTCTCATCACCTGAGGTTTCTGAAACCTTTCAGACTTCAGAGTGCAATGGAGAATCAGAACTCTAGTAATCCTGATAACGCCTTCATGGTTTTTTCTAATGGCAGCTTCTTTGGTCATCAACAGACTCAGCTTGCCATCAACTTTACCGATAATATTCAGAGCTTTACACATCCTGGAGACCAAACTGGTGTGCCAGGTTTAGGATTGGCAGGCGATTTCAATCCTGATAGCAGGATTCGGAAGCCGGCGCATACTGTTGACAGCCTGGTGAATTTTTCTCCTCCTGTTTCTGCAAATAATGAGGTCAAGAGGAGCTTTTTGTTTTTTAATTTCTTGATTTTTAGTTTCTGCAGAATGAAAGTAATAGTTTTTCTGTTTGATTTTTGCAGAGCTTGAGTGGAAGAAAAAGAAAGAGAAACAGTGAGAAAGTGGCGGAGAAACCAAAAGAAGTTATCCATGTGAGAGCAAAAAGAGGTCAAGCTACTGATAGTCACAGTTTGGCAGAAAGGGTATAAATATTTTTTCTCGTATATGAAAATTCTCAGTTGCGGACACTCGGTATTCCTGACGTTTAGCTCTTATTTGATGTTAGGTAAGAAGAGAGAAAATAAATGAAAGGTTGAGGTGCTTACAGGACCTCGTTCCAGGATGCTACAAGGTAAGAAATAAAAAAAAAAAAAAAAAATTATATTATACTCTCTGTTTGTGTAAGATTTAATGAATGTTACATTTTATGAATAAAATTGCAGACAATGGGAATGGCAGTGATGTTGGATGTAATTATAAATTATGTTCGGTCTCTGCAGAATCAAATTGAGGTTGGTCTTCAATCAAGAAATTCATTTTCTGTTGTTTACATTAAAGTTTGAATAACAAATTCTCTGGTATGCTGCTTCCAGTTTCTGTCAATGAAGCTTTCAGCAGCTAGCATGTATTATGACTTCAACTTGGAGCTCGATGCTACAGAAACCATGCAGGTAAATTAGAAAATAAATATATATTTTAGTTTAATTTATTTGTTTTAGAGCGATTGAGTTTTTTATTTAATGCAATTGTGATGTTGTAGGGAACATATGCCTATGATGCACGAGAGATGGAGAGGATGGTGAGAGAAGGGTATGGAGGCCCTTCTTCCTTCCACTCTACATGGTCTCTTTGAAATCATTCATCCTTTAATATAATTTGCTTTTACTTTCATTCTTAGATATAAAACTCCATATACTTGCAAAAAAGGGGGAAAAAAAAAAAATTGTATATCTGATATTCCATCCATGACTACTGATGGAAATAATCATTAAACGAAACGAAACGATATCAGTATCTTGTATTTTCTTCTTCTTATTATTATATTTGAGATTGATCTGAGTTTCTGATTTGTGTTGTATCTCTTTTATGTTCATGTAATAAATTACTAGAAAGAATAACTTCTGCAATGGTTTTTCACGGTAGTATTAAAATCCTGTTGTAAAAGGCTCTTCTATTCTCGTAATAGTAATAAATCTTGGCTATAAAAGATGATCTCACAAAAGTATGATTATTGGTAGAGAATTATATAGTGAATGGTTGAGAAATGGTGGTTATGAAAAGGCAGGTACATTGCATCTCAGAGATATTGAGATACGTAGATTAGACAGTTTCAATAGAGCCATTGATGAAGAGAATGAGTGACCTATCAGGAGGGTGGGTTCCTTGCCCTTAATTTGAAAGGACAAAAGAAACTCACACTGTCCTTTCACATCGTCATAGTATATAATACATATCTCATCTTGTTCTAAGTGAAAAGAGACCAAAATCATAGATATTTCAGTCTACTGATAGTAATAAACTGCAGAAAAAAACCAATATGGGTCCTTCCAATTTGAATTCTAAAGGATTATGTGATATCACTTTTCATTAACTATCAATTATAATAAGTATGTAGATTCTAATCTTATTCATTCTATCTATCAATACCTTGAAGGAGACTTCTCAGCTGTTGAGGACTCAATTAAATGGGCAGATTCAGCCACTCTGTTAGTTAGAAGTATGAAGAATTTAATTTAGTACCTCTAACCATTGAAAGTACCAAATCTTGGAAAAGATAATGTCAACTTCTGTTTCACGATAGATATACACATTTCAGCACAAATCTTGTTTTATATATATTTAAAAGGATCTTATAATTTTCTTAAAAAAAAAAAAAAAATTCCTTTTATTTAATCCTAAACCCTTCTATATTTATAAGTGTAGATTCTCTGTGTTGATGCTCAGATTTTGACACCAACGACTCGCACGTGCAAAGTACTAAGCAGTTCTTGGAAATTATACGTGAATAATTATGATAATATAATGCAAAGACCGAATAATAAATGAAAGATGATTTTTAAAGTGATACGAATGCTTAAAACGAATCCTACATCTATTGTTATTTTATATATGAGAGATTACAGGAGGTCGCATATAGCAAACAACGAACAAAGGTACAATAACTGAATATTAAGTCAGTCTCTTTCTCTTAGGTTATCTTTGTTCTAAAAATAAAGATTACAATCAGAATGAGGATTCAGTCTTAGAATCCCAAAAATGAAAAGGGGAGTCCTCTATATATAATAGAGGAATTTAAGGTAATGATTACAAATCTGTAAGTGGGTAGGTGTCGTGCAAGTTCTCCTTGTGTCCCATTATAACTTAGGAAATATACTCAAATTACCTCAAGCTTGGACATGTGTGCGACCCTAATTCACTTATAAGTAAGACCTGAATCTGTCAAGTTGGTGACAGCCATACTCTTTTTGTCATAAGGCGACGTGACAGCTCCTGAACGGCGCAAAACCTTCTTGAACTTTGATTGGCGCTTACTGATGTAAGCTTACGTCAGCCCCGACTTTTTAAACATAACACTCTGCATTAAAGTTTCGTATGCTTAAATCTTTTACTTTTTTTTTTTTTTTTGAAACCAAATATGAATAGCATTTACGCACCTTTAAATTACTAATTATATGAACATCCGTTATATCCTTTATATAAAAGTTTTTTGTTCAAGGAATGTTGGATTACTGGAATCTTTTATTACCTTAAAGATTATTTGGAATCTTTATGAAAATGTGTTTGGTTAGTTAGTGGGTATGTTATATTAATATGTTTGGTTAGGGGGAATAAATTGGTGGATATATTATTTAAATTACTAAATTGCCTTCTTTTTAAATATTAATATAATATTAATTTTATTATTAATTTTTGAATAGTTTTTTTAACCCCCAATATTTTAGATTAAGTTAAAACACCCCCGCTTATATAAAACTTTTATTTATGACAAAATCACCCCCACCCCCCGCCACCACCGCAAACCACCGTCGGAAGTCTCTAAAAGTCGTCGTGAGTAGCTCATCGTGACCACGAGGCTACGATATGGTCGTTTTTTCCATATTGATGGCCAAAAATGGCCATATTAGGCTATATCAGGCCAGATCTCTTCCAGCTGAAATAGATCTGGTCGTTAACAACCAGATCTCGCCTAGATTTGGCCAATAAAGGCCAAGGGTCTGGCTGTTAACGGTCAGATCTGCTCTCGATATGGCCTTTTCGGCCATCAATATGGCCAGAAACGACCATATTGGGGCCTCACGGTCATGGTGAGCTACTCACGACGACTCCAGGTGACTTCCGATGACTTCCTGCGGTGGTCAGCGGTGGTTTGGCTGGTGGCAGGCGGTAGCAAGTGGGGTAAGGGTGATGGCTTGGGTAAGCTGAAATTTGTTTTGATTTCAAAGGTAATTTTGTCCAAAAAATTAATTAAATTAGGTAAAATGGTAAAAGCAAGATTCATGTAAATAAATTAAAAAATAAGGGCATTATTGTCCTAAAATTTTATTAATAAGGGATAAAATTGTAAAAAAAAATTACCCAAGTAATCTTACAATACTTAGGGGGGTTTAAAAATTTACCCAAAGAATCTTATATTACTTGACAAACCAAACATAGTAATCAAGTAATATAAGATAATTTAACCTCAATAATCCCACGTAACCCCCAACCAAACCCCCCTGAAAGGTTATTCATATCCACTACTAAGTTGGTAATTTTTTCAAAAGTTATTTTAACCAAAATAGTGATGGTGAAAAAAAAAAGGTAATGTAATGGCGAAGTGGTTGTTAAATTACATTTTTGCCCTTCTAGCAACTAAACCCAACCAGAAAAAGTTCCCTCGGTAGCAAGTGGTAGTTAAACAGACTCGCATGGTTTTGAACGCCCAGCTTCTAATTTGTCCACCATCGCCAGTCAAGAGATGTTGCAGGCTTTTGCTTCTATCTCCCCCCTCCACGTGGCACTCCCTGCCGCCGCACGTGTCAAGTCTCCACCACTTGCTTTCCCAATGAGCCAACCGCCTCCTCGCCATTTCCGATCACTCGCCACTGTGACCGCCGCCAAGTCCACTCCCTCTGCATTTGTTGACCTCAAAGCTGGCAAAGGGTATTGAAAAAATCTATGGGCTTATTACTTTTCTTGGAAAGTTCGCATTTTTATCGTAAAGTTTAAATTTTTATTATTGTTTGATAACGTTTCGTAGAATGAGTGAGTTTCATGATATTGAGCTCAAAGTCCGGGATTATGAATTGGATCAATATGGAGTTGTGAATAATGCTGTCTATGCAAGTTATTGTCAACATGGTAAGAATTTTTTTCACTGATTCTTGTTTAATGTATCCAATTTTTGTTTTGAATTTTTTTTTTTTAGTGAAGAGAATTAGATAAGAATTCCAGTTGATGTATTTGGATTTGGATTTGATTGGCTCGTGTTGACCTAAAATTGTTCAAACTTGTTTCTTCTAAGTGGGTGGTAAGAGGCAGGGGCTGATTTGGTAGATCTCAGCTTCCATTCTATAGTTTATGAAAAGTGAACTCTTGTGCTCCAAATTGGGTTTTAGAGAAGGATTGATTTAGATGTTAAGTTTGTGACAACAGAGGAAATGTTTTGGGTGCTTTCAACAATGGAGATTTTGTTTTTGAATGCATTTTCTTTTTAAGTTCCTAAACAATTTGATTAATATGGTTTTAAATGAAGGAGGTGGTAGGAGTTTCTTGGTTTTGAAACGTGCTCATGTATGTTTTAAAGAATTATGGAGAGTTTTTTCGTCAGTCTTGATGTGGATTGAGTGCTATTCCTTCAATTTCTTACTCAGGTCGTCATGAGCTTTTGGAAAGGATTGGTATCGATTGTGATGCAGTTGCCCGCACTGGTGATGCATTGGCCCTATCAGAGTTGTCACTCAAATTCCTTTCACCTCTAAGAGTATGCCCTCTGATCTTTAAATCTGTGATTACTAAACCTTTTATCTAGTTGTATATATCAATTTACTTATGTATTATGAGGAACTAAACCTCATGTAAGTACAAAATACTCCTGGTTGGTTATTTTTCTCTCACATGGGCACTTGTGGATCTAAAGTGATTAATATTAGCATTGGGTTGTCAAAGGAATAAGAATGACTTTCATGGAAAAATCATTGAACACAAATACTTATCTTTGTCCCTCTTGAAACTTTAAATTGAAGTGACCATCTTTGGAAAAGATTGCCTTTTGCTTAACCACAAAAGATTTTCAGTGCTAGCACAATATGCTTGCTTCAATTCATAGCTGCCATTTTAGTTCTTAATGGCAAAAATTCCATAATTACAATGATCTTATTTATATCCTTCCACATGGTGCATTTGCAACCAGAGTGGAGATAAGTTTGTTGTGAAGGTGAGGATCTCTGGCTCATCGGCTGCTCGCTTATACTTTGAGCACTTCATTTTTAAGCTGCCAAATGAAGAGGTTTGTCGTTCTCAACCCTGAACTGAACTTCTACATTGTTTTTATGAACCGCCATGATGCTCAGTGCTCTGTTATGTTTTGTGCAGCCTATTTTGGAGGCAAAGGCCACAGCAGTTTGGCTTGACAAACATTATCGCCCTGTCCGTATTCCACCTGAGATGAGATCTAAATTTGTTCAGTTTCTTCGCCATGAAGATTCTAATTGATTTAATTGCAAAAAGAACTTTTTCAACAAAATTCTTGCCTATATACCCGCTGGAACCGATAGTACATTTCCCTCACAATATACCTTTTTCAGCTTCTTATAAAAACCTGGACTCTACAAAACTAATTATACTTGCTTAGCAATATCTGACAACTTTCTTGGGATAAAAGAAAAAAGGGTGGCGGAGGAAATGATCGGCCATGATTTGAGGATTTTAAAAGATTGATTCTTTAACCTTATACTTGTTTGTGTAATAAAGATGTTGATTTTGACATCATCATCCTGGAGCTCAAATGCTTGCATCCTTCTTGTAGAAGATTATATTTTGTTGTTTCCTTTGAAATTGTTTACGCTTATGCAATATGTAATCATGCAAGAGATACCATTTGACTGTTGTCATCTGTGTTTGGCAATGTGAGATTATTTTTACTGAAAGTAGTTCTCTCTGGTTCATTTTTTTATACAGATTGTGCTATGTTCAGTCGATATTAAGTATCTTTGCATAGTGAGAGAAAGGGGATTTGATTTATTTGATCAAAAACTTATTCAATCACATATATCTATAAAATCTTCTACTAGGTTTTGGAATCCTAGAAGAGGGTTACTCTTATTGGTTTTTATAAACCCTATATCATAAACTTTTGGTGAAGAGAAATTGAAGCCTCTCTCTTTCTATATATTTGTGATTTTATGATTCCTAAAATTTAGGATTAGATTATGAAAATTTAGGGTTTCAATGTTAAAAATTAAAACAAAAATATAAAATAAAGAATGAGTACATTTAGAAATTATAATGTTATTTCTAATCATTTAAATTAAGGTTAAATTTGTCAAAACAAAAAATAAATTTAAAAATAAGGGATGAAGACCAATTAGGTGGGGGCTAAAAATCACTTCCCAACTTATTATTATGTGCAAAAATTAGCTAATTCTACAATTATGAAACAAGCCCATAGACTATATCCACAAGTGGACTACAATGTCCAAGCACAGCTATGGAAATGGCCTTCAAAGTTTGTTTGCAGGCCCAAATTTAAGAGGAAAGGAAAATTTATAATAAGTGGCATTAGCAACATCGGAAGAGTGAAAACTAGTACATGCAACCTAGATATTTTGACGATCAAGGAGCTTTGTTCTTTTTTTTGAGTTTTTGGGTTCAAACATTAGGGTCACCTACTATAATAATATTATAACTTACCTGATCCTTTAGGTTTGTAGGGTGTTCAATAGACTCTAAATACTAGTTAAGGTATATGCAAGTTGGCCCGGATACCCTGGTTAGCCAAAAAAAAAAAGTTGAAATTAGGTGTGCAAGGGATTTCTTAGATTAACCTAGAAAATCCAACAACATGCATCCGAATCTACTTTAATTAAAATTAATCAATGTAAGACTTTTGATATTAAGAAGAAAATGAAGGCTTCGTTTAGTTTACATATTGGGAAACTTTTCTAGTTTTCCCAAAAAAGTTCAGTTTGTTTCACCTATTTTCTAAAATATAATTCTAAAATTTTTAATTTCCTTTAAACCCCCTAAATTTGTTAATTTAACTAAACAAACCCCAAAAAAAATTTAAAAAATTGACAAAAACACCCTAGCAACCCAAATTTACTAGATTCCCACCACCACTGTCGAAAGCTGGCTGAAATCTGATGTAATGGCACACTACCGGCTGAATTTGGCTAGTAATACGCCGATCTAGCTTTTCCAGCCAGATCTACGGCCAAAGATTTGGCCGTCAACGGCCAAATCTTTGGCCGTAAACAATCGTCAATGACCGCCAATATATGGTCGTCGTTGACCATCAACGACAATCATAACTTTGACCGTCGTTGAAGACCAAATGCGACCAGATTTGGCCGTCAATGGCCAGATCTATGGTGAATCTGGACAGAAAAGGCCATATCGGGGCATGATCGGCAAGATTGAGCCGATCATACGCCGATAAGGCAACTCTGGCCACCCTCCAACGGTGGTGGCTGGCTGTCCGTATTTTTGAGTGGATTGTGGGTGTTTTTGTTAACTTTGAATATTTTATTATAGGGGTATTTATGTTAATTTTCAAAATTCTACATCATAATACCTGCCCAATTTAATTTTTTTCAAAAGATTATTCTAAAAACTACACAATAATGAACCAAACGGAGCCGACAGGTCTCGCAAGCCCCAATTGACTAATGAATCAAACACCTTTTAATTATCATATTATTAAAACTACATTTTCAAAGTAATTAAGCCTTAATTAAGATAATCTTATGGACACTATATATATTTGGAGTAAACGACATACCCACCCAAGGTTTAGATAAATGACAAGTTCCCACCCTTAGTTTCATAAATTTAAATTTCAACCACATGCCGGGCAACCCCTCAAACCCCCCCCCCCCCCCCCCCCCCCCCCCCCCCCCCTTTTTTTTACATTTATTAATTAATTAAATTATTATAAATTTTCATGGTCATCCAATATTTTTATAACAGGAAGTTGATAGAAATTTTAGTTAAAAGGATTAAAAAAAAAAAAGTTTTGAAATACTGAAAAAGAACAATTTTTATAAAATATAGTTCTATTAATAGATTTAGTATTTCTTAATTGACCAATATTGAATTAATTCATCAATGCAATTTTCATGTGAATTCTAACAAAATATTTGGAATATAATTTTAAGATTCATATAATATTAACTAATACATTTAGATTTGGTTTTAGGTATGCTAAAGACAAAATAAATAGATTACATGACAAGATTCTTATGCCATTATTTCTAATTAGTTAACTAATTAGGGTCCACTTCCAATGACTGAGAGCGCCGTCTATCACATTTAATTAATTTTGCAATATTGGATCTACTAATTAAAGTAGCAACATTCGTGATACTATATTGTTTTAATTAATTAAGATTATATACATTTAATTAGTTTTGTAAATTTTGATCTACTAATTAAGCAGCAAACTTCTTGATATTATATTGTTTTAATTAATTAAGGTTATGTAACAATCATCGCTTTTCTAGCTTGTACGTACATTCCAAACATTTATTTATTTATTTTTGCAACCAATTTAATATTTTTTGGACGGTAAAAGAATATTTGCTTTGAGAATTATTTCATTTTGATGTGTTTTGACTTTTGGTGGAGTTCCGCATGGACTTGTCCTGTGTCTTCTAGCAAGAATATTCAATTTGTGTATTATTGTAGGTTGGTGCATTATTTAGAAGGGTGAACGACATGCACACACCTAAGGTTTATTGTAAAGATGTACCCAAATAGTTTGGAAGTGACAAACATGTACCTTCTGTTATTCTTTGTTAGTGATTTCCGTCTGCTAAAGGGTACACTTCCTGAAAAGACTGGAATGCCCTTGAAAGTTTGTCACATCAATTAATGAATTTTTTTTCTTCTCTATCGTTCTAATTTTCTATTTCTTCTTCTCCATCGCTCTTTGTTTGATGAAATAGATTGACAAAATCACTTTTTTTTTTGTTTCCCTTCTTCTCCGGTGTTCTGAAATCTTCATTAATTGATAAGATTTCATTACAAAATCCATTAAAACACCGACAAACCAAACCCTAACCCTAACCACCAATACCATACAGAGTCTGGCACGCCGCCATGTTGAATCTTCATTAGCTTGACGTTGTCACGCCTCGCCAGACGCCAAATCGCTGGTTTCGTGATCCCTTAATCATGTTTTCTCTCTAATACTTGGTGACGTTTCGCTCCCCCTCTTCCCAATCCCTTGCCTCCCTTTCCTCTACCTGACATTTTTATTTTCTTTTTTTCTTACTCTTTGTTTGGATGTTTGTTGCGTTTGGTGAAAGATAGATAACAGGTTAGAGAGAAATAGTGTGGTGAGAGATAGCATTGGAGAGAGAAGCAGTGTGGCTTCGCCCAAATAAGTGTGAGTCTCTCTATATGGATCCCTAGTCCTCTTTTAATTGAATTTATATTAACTTTGATTCTAATGGCTCATGGTGTCGATGATTATGAATGCGTGTTGAGCAGAAAAATTTTAATGGGGTTTTGTTGTTATAGTTTGAGCTGTTATAAGCTGACTATAATTTCCAGTTTCACATAAGTTTTTCTGGTTTCTAAAGTGAGATATTCATCATTACTAGTTCTGCTATTTTGGGACTTTGATTGGCTTTTTATGCGTTTGTGGATAGTTGTCAAAGCTATTAAGCCGTCTTATGACATAAACAGAAAGTAAATGAGTTTTCTTATCAAGTTGTCAATGTCCTTAGTCATTTTAGTTGCCGCTGTACTTGGACAATTATAGTTTCCATCATAACTACTTAAATGTGAAAAAGACTAACAAGAAACAATGAACAAGAGCAGGACGAAGGATCCAATTTTAGAAGAAGCTTTAGCCATATTCTCTTGGTAAATTTCTCGAATGATTAATTTAAAGTTTGGTATGAAAAATAGTAGAGTCAATTCATATACTTATATACAGTAGCTATCATGTAAGTAAAGGCAAAACAACTAAATCAAGCAGCTATGTAACTTTAATATAATGCTAAATTTTAGAAGAGAGGAATGTTAAAAGTTGTGTGCTTGTCCGGTGCAGTTTCCTCATCAAGTTATTACTATGATTAGTGATTATGGACCTAATTATTGCCCTGTGTGGACAGGTTTATTTGATTTTGAAGTGGATGTTGCAACAATAAAACATTCGTCTGGAATTTATGTTGTTTCTTCTGGATCATATGTGGTAGAATAGGCCTGTGTGAAGCAGGGGTTGCGTTGTGAAAGATGTTAGTAAGTGATTAGGTTCGTGTAGCGGAAAAATGTAATTTTAAAAGCTAAAAGATCACTTACACATCTAAGATTTGAGTAAAGATTATAACGTTTTCATGCATAAACAAAAACGTAAAATAAATCTGTGTAAAAACAAATCCATGCAAGGATTTAGTTCATACCCACCTTTGGAGGCTCCTCCAAATATCTCTGACTTCGCTCATAAATACTGTTCACAACACTGTTCATCAAGTACTGTTCATCAATACTATTCACTGGCTACTGTTCACATACACTGTTCGCAGTATTTCTTCACTAATTGATCCAATGTAGGATCGCACTCATGAAAATCCACACGAAGATAATCCAAAGAACCGACAATTGTTTTGCTAGAACAATTGCCGGCTTCAAGAATCAAAAGACAATCAAAGAAAAGAAGATTTTTCTTTTTGCACTCAAAGAGTGAAAACGTGAGAGAGAGAGATAGGGTGGCTAGGGTTTTTTGTTTTTATAAAAATATATGTTTTGTTTTAATTAAGTTGCACTTATATGGTGCAACTAATTAAAACCCTATTCCAATAAGGAAAACCCATGGGCACCAATCCAAGCTTACCCTTGCAACCAAACACCATGTAATTAGTATTTTAAATTAATTAATTATTATTATAATTAAAATCAATTAATATATAATAAT